AAACTGGGACAGCACATGTTTGCCAACCGATGCGCGTTACATCGCATTCCGCTCCATCGTGCCTGGACCTACTGTTAACTAGTTGCGCGCAACGCGTATATGAAATTCAGGTCTTGGAGCCTGGCAGCTAGGGACCACTAGATGGTGTTAGCCAGCCTGGAGCTGCCGCTGCCCTACTCGCGTTCGCCGGCGTCGTCCTACAATCATTGGAATACCGACTTCGATAGTCTCAATCGAGCTGCCAGTGAAGTAGACTGGTCACTGCCGCAGGATTCATCTGTTGAAGCCTGTTGGTCTGTGATAGAAGATGGCATGCAATCGTTGTGCGCTCGTTTCGTACCCCTCAAGTATCGAAAAGCTGCACCAGTGAAGTCAAATTGGTTCGACAGGGAGTATAGTCGATTGGCTCGACGGCGACGCGTATTGTGGAATAAATTCTACGTTTATGATGCCTGCAAAAGGCAGTGGATTCTGCAACGACGCAAAAGTGCTAAAACGTTGACAATTCGGAGAGAGCTTGCAATTTTAGCGAAGACGACTCTCAAGAAGATTTTTTCTTACGTGAAGCGGCGCGTGAGGCCCGCGAGTGACGTGGATGGCAGCGAAGGACAGCCTCTGCCCTCCAGCACTGAACGTGCGTCCACATCGGCGGAGCGCTTCGCTTCCGTATTCGCAAGTGGGTATGCGCCCATGCCGAGCTCGACGTGTGCAGCCCCCACCAAACTCGAGGGCTTTGATTGCGGTGTAGAAGATATCCGCAGTCTACTCACCAGTCTTGATGGCACGAAACCTGTCGAACCGGATGGGGTTCACCCGCTAATTTTAAAGTCTATCGACTATCATCTCGTCTACAGGGACAGATCTTTTCAACAGATCGCTGTCCGAGGGTGCATTGCCGAGTGACTGGAAATGCTCCGTACTGAAGCCGATTCCAAAAGGCGGTGACCCACGCTATGTATAGGATTACCGTCCGATTTGCCTCACCTCTGTTTTGGCGAAGGTGCTCGAGAAAATGGTGAAACTGGTTCTTCTGCTGCTGGAGTCGGAAGATCTCCTAACGCCGGCACAGCACGACTTCATGAAGGGCCGCTCGTGCATCACCAACCTGCTGTTGATGCGGCAGGAATGGTTGCATGCGTTAAACCGGGGGAATTCAGTGGATGTTGATTTCAGTAAAGCTTTCAATAAAATGAACCATAAGATCCTGCTGCACAAGCTGAGGATGTGTGATGTTGGTAGCGCACTGCACCAGTGGATCAGTGACTTCCTTATTGGGAGAAGATGGCGGGTTCAAGTCGATGACCACCTAACGGAATGGTACCCGTCCACCAGCGGCGTACCCCAGGGCACAGTACTGGACCCATTTTATTCCTGATCCACATCAACGAAGTACCCCAGCTTCTTCGGTCGCCCTGCGCATTATTTGCGGATGACCTGAAGATTTGGAGGATTATTGAGTCTCCCGGCGATTGTGACGTCCTTCAGCAGGACGTTGACCGCCTATCCCGGTGGTCTGCAGAAGTTGGCCAACCGGTCAACACGGCCAAATCTTCGTTTATGAGCTTGGGGAGGGGTAGTTATGGGCGTGCGTACACCCTGGCCGGCCACCCGCTGCATTCCACCAGTTCCGTAAATGATCTAGGTGTACTCTCATGCTGTGATCTGAAGTCTGTCGACAACACGAACAAACTGTACGCCAATGGACTACGCCTGCTTTGGGCACTTAGGCGCAGCTTCTGCACTTGGTCTGAATGGATTGCCATCCGTCTGTTCTCTTCCATAATAAGTCGGGTGCTTGAGTACGCCTCACGCGCCTATTGCCCGATCAGAATAGGTGAAGTGCAGAGACTGGAACGGGTCCAGCATGTAGCTACCCGGCTCATCCCCAGTTTAGGGATTATGTCGTACGAGGACCGATGTAGGAGACTAGGGCTTTATATCCTGTCATATCCTCGGCTTCGAGTTGATCTCATAATGACACACCGGATATTGCACCGGGCCACTTCGCTATGCTGAGGCCGTTGCTGCACGTTCGCACACCAATCAAGACACGCGGACACCGCTACAAACTAGTGGTATCGGATCTAAAGCGCACCACTCACCCTCTACGCTTCGACCGTCGAGTGGTGAAATATTGGAACAAATTGCCGGAGACGCTAGTCGAGGCGGAATCGTTGTCGGAATTTAAGCGATTCCTTGACGCCTACTTTGCAGACTACAGGTATAGAGAGCGTATCGCACACGGATAAGATATACAGCTGCAATATGCTGCCACCGCGCGGGGATCAGCGACGTGATTCCGCTCAAATGCCCGATCCACCTACGATGGAGCGGCACAGATTTTTCTTTTCTCGCTCTCTATTCACAGTATTCGGTATTTGTTCTTGAAGGGCAGTGTCTGCTGCTGTTAGACCACAGAGGACAGCGGAGACTAACGCGACTGAATTGCTGGTTGTGCTGTTGCGTAGCTGATTTTGCTCTGTTGTTGATTTTTTAACGTATGTGGAGTCAATGCTAATGCGCTGCATTGATCACCTTTCACTTACGTTTCCCATGTATGCATACAATTGTCAGGCCCTCTACGAAGTGAAGGGTAGCTGCATAAATCGGAGGTTTGGAAGAGTCAGAGGACTTTAGTGCGCTAATCCGTTTCGAGGAACCTACGGGGCATCGCTTGTTATCGTTATGGATTCACCGCATGCCAATAGTAAAATGGTACCAGTTTCATCTACAGCAGACGACAAGCTAACAAAACAGCTGACTTCGGTTGGTTCTGCTCGAACGCTGGATGGGGTCCCAAAGATGTTGAGTGCCGCTGCTTAACAACCTCGGAACTCATGGCTTCAAACCGAACACAGTGACGGGCGTGTATCTCTGCTTGTTGCCGTGATTCCCCTTTCATTCTTAAATAAAAAAACATCCAGTCAATTTCAAAAACTGAGTAGGAAAATGAATAAAACTATTGTTTGTCTTCTTTACTTCTTTCATTCTAACCCTGTGTTCCTATTCCGTCATGGTCCCAATGGCACAATATCTGTACACAGATTGTGATATATATATATATATATATATATATATATATATATTGCATTCATGATGCTTCTTCACCACAGTTGGGCTAAGCCAACTTACACTTAAACTAGGTATTTTTAAGCTGCATAAATTTCATTACACTTTATTCGGTTTGTTCTATCTACCTGAATAATCCTCTATTAACTTGCACACGTAGCTTACGCTAATTGTGGTTATCTTCGTTAACTTTCTTGTGTTTGTAATAAATTTTGCTTAACTTGTGGACATTTTGTACTTATCCCGGATTTGTTGCTAACCAACTTACTTCATATGCATATTTAGCGAAGAGTTATGTCGGCAAAGCCGTATGCGTCCACAGATATATTTTATTCGATGATGTTATTTCAAGTGATTGGCTGTTGTTTGACATCCCCGGTGTGGCTGAGCTTGATGTGCATGTCTATTACCCACTACCTCGTTTATACTGGCTCTAGGAGACAGTTGGTCGTTACTGGAGGGGACTGGGTGCACGGTCCTTGTGGCCGTGCTAGGTTCGAAGAGCGGTTCCATGCACTCAGTGTGGAGCGGACTACGGTCCAGCCATCGCCTTGTGTGCGCTTGATTCCCAAATACAGTGTGCTTGTGTTTGCCTGTGATGGAGTGTGGGCCGACCCCGTTGATGAAACGTGGCTCCCATCCACATCCCTTCCGGTTTACACTGGATATGGGGTGTGTGGGTGGTGTATCGCAAGCTACCCAGGGTCCCTTTGTAGGCGCAGGCGTTCTGTGGCTGGCCACAATGACAGGCAAACCCGAAACCGGATGCCGCCAACCATATATATATATATATATATATATATATATATATATATATATATATATATATGCAGCATACGACAGCGCCCGGCTTGACTATTCTCACCATCCTTTCTTCTAGGATTGTCACGTAGAAAGGGTTCCAGTTTAACGGAACACAGTTTCCAAACACATTTCCATGCCTTGTTCGTTCTGCCAAGGTGTTTGCTGAACACTCGGGCAATTTCCTACGTCAGATATTTTAATGTTTTGTTGTGGATGATTTTTGTGCTGCATTGAAGCATACAGTACCGCAGAAACATGCATTTCGCCCGATTCCATTTTATTCCGATCGAACTGAAGCAAGTAGAAACCTCTGTTCACGGCATTGTTACACCTCCCGACACCAATGAATTTACTTTCTGTTGGTGACATTGCTGCATCCCGAGCAGTTGGTCTCTGCCGGGTACGTTAGATCCAGATTCACGGATCGTCATATCTCTTAACTTATCACTAAGATTGAGGAGATATAAAGAACTGATCGTTGTGGGACATCTACAGATTCTTTCAGTGATTGTCCAAGGCTGACCACATGCGAATGCGCTTAAATCTTTGGACGATCTACGCTTAACGTCAGTTCGGTCATGCTGCTGTCTATGTTTTTTCCTCACTCATATAGCTGGGGTTAGCGGATAGGTTACGCAAACCCGTTTTCTTAGGATGGGGGCCACATATGTGCAAGGTGTCCTCACTCCTGCCATGTACATCAGTGACCGAGGTGCTTTCGATTCACATCACTGGTCAAATAGGTCCGATTTTGATGATTACGTTATACCGCTTTTGGCTCCCTCACTGGACACGGATACCAGACATTTGTTCCAAACTTACCGGGCACCAGTCCTAATCTATCACTTCATCACCGCTCTTGATACCCGAACGTTCGAAAATCAAACGGTTTACTCAAGTACCGCGCATACTCCCCACCCACATTTGCTTAACATCAAACGTTTGGAGTGCACTTTTCCCGTAAAGTGTTTAACATAGTTCATTAATTTTTCGTATGTCAGATCCTAAGAGAGTTAATCGCGAAATCTCGTTTTTTTCTTGGAAACTAACGTTTGTGGCGATTGACTGAGTCATTTCTTTGTACCAGGAGGTGTTCACCTGTGTTTCCGACTCACACCCTCCTTATTCTAGCCCGTTCTAGACATTATCGGAGAGCATAACTCTGTTCATCACTAAATAAACGCTTCGTTTTTGTGCTCCGATATTTAGCTTACGCTGGTTGTTTTACTCATTTCAGGATATAAAAGCCCACACCAATTGCACACTGATTCACTTGGTCTGACGAAGCCCTTGTGTCGAGGGCGAAACGTTACCAAACTACTATATCAACCGATTGTTTCCAAACCTCTGAACTCATCACTATTCGATCAGTTCCAAGTATCTTCCAAGGTTTCTTCTCTTTTCTCACCAGTGCTGGTTTACCGTTGGAAATGACATGAGTCCTATTGAGAACGGGTTCTCGGAAATTCTGTTTCACTTGCGTTATGATGTTGCTTATCACGTTTCCCTCTTCACAATGTGTGCCGGCCAACACAGCTTTCTCGCGTGCCTGTGTTCCGGCTCTCCACTTTTACGACGGCAGTGCGAATAGAAAGTGCCTTTAGGTTAACCTTTTTCACATTGCCCTAATTCTTACACAATTTGCACGTATCGCTTATCTCTCCTTTTCCCACTTTAGATTGAAGCGATGCCAAACTCTTCTATATGATAGCACAAAAGAATTTCTCGCCCAACGCAGTCAGTTCAAGCAGGCAGAAAAGGCGTGGATCGCTGAGAAGGATCAACTTTTGTGCCGGTTAGCTGGAAAGAAACTCCCATTAAATGTGGTTCCCTATTGTGAGTATTACTTCCGTTTGCTATTTGGCCTTGTGTTCTCTTCGTTTAGGCTGTTATCATGACCGACTTCCACTGGAACACCGCTCACGTCGAATCATCTGGTGGCACTGCTTGGGAGTAGCAGCAGCAACTGATGCTGTCCATCCTTACGTCACTTTTCCGCTTACCATTTCTATTCCCCACTGTCTTTACAAGACGGTGGCATTGATCCGGAAGGTGATGCTATCACTTCAGCTTATTTTCAAACAACACTTTCAACTGCGACTTCACTCATCACTCTTTCCTCTCTGTTTAAGCTGGATCACATCGCTGGTCCCATTTTTAGCGAATTGGGGCTCTCAGCTTTTGTTGTATGCTTCTGTAGACGCCACTTCATCGGTCAGGTTTCCTCTACATCCACTCGAATTATTTTGATTTCTTGGAATGAACTTACTTTCAATGGATTTTTCCCTTTTAGGTTTAGTTTCCCACGCATCGTTGAGCGACGTTCTTACACCTGTACTGGCCTCGTGTTTAGGTCCGTTTACTTATGCGTTCTCTATAGTTTTAAATTAGCGCATACATTCTTTTGATCTCTCCGCATCAAGATTTTCCTATCACATTTATCCAGCCTGAAGTTCACCTGTATCCATACAGGCGCAACAAGTGATCTACAGACACTGCGATGGCTATCATCACGGTTGCATTCACACTCTTCTTATCAAAATCGGATGAAGTCAGGAAGTATGCACGCCCATTTCATAGGTGAACACGTCCGCACCAGTCTATCCCTAGTGCCTCACTACAAGGCTGATGACGTGACCAAGAGTGCACAGGCACAGTCGTTTAGATAGAATGCCGTGGTACAACGTTGCCCCCAGTTTATAGGTGCGCACTATTTATTCGGACATCTTCGATATCAAGGAAAGAGATGACACTGTTAACAGGTATTTCTCGAAGGACTTTGATCGTCTAGATTACCGCATTCTTTACACCCTTTAGAGCTATGAAGCCGACGATACTATCCTGGTTTGGATCCGTAGCTTTCTCAACTTGCTTAACTGAGAGTTCGTAGCGCATTGTCTGGGTCGATCGAAATGCATCACACAAGGCTCGGTGCATGGACCACGACTATCCCCGCTGTTCGTGAATCATATCGTGGGAGCGATCATCCTCAACTTTCCCCTCTTTGCTGGTGATCTCAATGATGGCGACCATCAAGACAGTAGACGCCCACATAGCGTTGCAAGATGCGCTCGACTGTGCCTATTAGTGCTTTACTCAGAGCGCTCTCCAGTTTAAGGCATCCAAGTGCAGTGTGTTGTATACACGCCGCCTGCGCACTTACCAGTATCGGTTGGGAGCACATGGATTGCAGCACGCGTTGTGAAAGTGGTCTCGGCGCGCTCATTCAGAATGACCTCCGTTGTTAAAGATAGACCGAAAAGGCTATGAGAAAGACCTGTCAGCAACGATGGCCCTTATTGAGGGCGTTCGGGTGGTTTGACCCCTCCTCCAACTTTCTACAAACGCTAAACAGAACATTGGGACTCATGTAAAAAATGCATTTTTATCAGGTAACCCCAGTAGAAGCACAATCTCGATTTTCTCGAAACTCCACCACTTACGGTGCTTTCCCTGTCTCCTTTGCCAACTTAACTGAACGCCATAAAAGTCTTCGGTGGAGAATATCCTCGTCTGTGTTAGATCCGCAATGACGTCAACCACACACGCTATCACTTAGTGAAGATCGACCGCAGCACTTCCATGAAAAGCCACCCTTTAAAGTTGGCTGTACAATGCAACCATTTGGAATATCGCCGGAACGTTTTCTCACTTCGTGTTTGCCAGTTGTGGAACACTTCCGACTTTTCTTAGTTCCGGTCCAACGTTACCCGAGTTCAAAATGCGACTTTATGATGCATTGTCCCACCTAAATTGCATGATTTGTTCAAAGTTATTGAACCACAGCATAATGGAACCGAATTATGTGCACTTGCGACTCATACAGGGAGTTCGCCAGCACGCATTCTTTCTTTCGATAGTTTTAGTTTGACTTTTTAACCCCCAATCGATTTGTTTTTCCATTCTTGCGTATTCTGTTTTGGGTGAAATCCAAATACAGTGCTTATATGTCATGCCGCATATCGGCCGGACATTTGAAACAAAAGTGACCACAACCAGACCTGATGCTGTGCGGCCTTCACCTTTGATTCTAGTCTAACCTTTGCATAAGAACCAGGCACTAAACATCAAGCACTTAGTATGAGCCAGCGATATCCGAATTAAACAGCGGACGGGATGCGGCGGTACCAATTATCTACTGGTGGGACTGTCCGCACGGAAAACTTGATGGCGTCTTCTCACTGTTATTGGGTTGATTCAGCTTTAGAACCCCGGATTTGAAGAAGCTATCAGTTAATTTCCAGTCAGCACCTTTTTGCGTGATGTGACCACATTTGTACTCCCACATTGGGGTAGCGAGCGACGCGCATTGCCATTGTTCATCCGGCTTTTCAAAGAACGCGCAAGCATCCTCTCAATGTCAAAACGCATCAAGTTCGCCAGCGCCATTATTGTTTTTGTGACCGGGCAACCTCTTTATATTCCTAATCGTGACCCGACAGCCATGTTGTTGCCATTTCTCCACATGAACAAACATTAATACACGTTTCGGTGACTACTTTTGGTAGGCATTGTACTACCATGGGATGCTATCTCCTTCTACTAGTTATACTAGCTATACCACAAGTGCTACTTCTGGCTCCATTTTACCATCTACATCAGTCCAACTTGTCTGCAACTTTGAGCACATATTTTACTTTTGTCCACATGCATTTATCGCTCTATCTGGGTTACCTGTTTCTCCTTTCTTACTTATTCATTTTTCAGGTAAAACTTCAGGCGTACAGCCCTCTGACGAACGATCTGTCCAACTGGAGACAACCTGTCTAGATGATCTCGTGTCTACGGCCTCGGGTGATGTAGCAAACCAGTCAACACGAAAGAGATATGAGCAGTTGGCTCAAACAGTTCGCGATCTGCAACACCAGCTGAGTCAACAACAAAAGTTGAGCGAGATGTACCGTGAGCAAGTAAACACACTAGCGTCTTTTTCTACATGCACCTTAGGTGCCTTACAGTTTTGCTCTCCAGTTTTTTTCTATCTATTTCGTCCCGCGTAAAGAGCGTTGGCCACCTTAGCACCAACTAACACAAACTTATCATACGCTGTTACGCTCGAAGGACTTAAAGATAATACTCTTACAAAGCACAATACCCCATCCTTATAATCTGGTTTAAGCAATGCACTA